TTTTTTTTTTTTTTTTTTTGTGGCTTCTTACATTTGTAAAACAACAAAACAGGAAAAAAGAAATAATAAATTAATACCCTCAGTCAGTGAAACTTCTTGTTTGGGAAAACCACAACCTGTATTTCTATTTATTTACCTTAATCAAATTAATTAATTTAACAAGTCTGAAAATTTCGGCATTTTACAGGATACAGGTATAAATATCTGGCAAGTGGAGTGTATATATTAAACTACATCTACTTAGCTAGTAAATATTTTGCTGCATTAGTTTGCTCATTCCCAAGCAATCAGTTGTGAACTCCAGTGTTGTAACGGGTCCACAGGGAACATTTGTGCTTTGGTTGGCACTTAGATTAAATTCATCAAATTATTTTTTTCCCTGTTCAAGGCTGACATTTCAGAATGTTTTTTTTTTTGAAAGGTTGTGTGCCAACTGCCAAAGTCAATTAATTAGATGGTAAATCTGAAATTTGTGGGGGAAAACTGTCATTCTCTTTTGCTGTGCGACCTTGGAAATGCGAACATTTAATCCACAAACCACTTGGTTTACCAAAGGATCCTCCTCTGCTTGCACTGAAAGTAAAAGCAAAGCTTGCTGAGAATTTTGTGAGATTAGGGATTACCTCAAGGATGGCATTTTACCCTGCATTTTTCTTCTTGGATTTTGATACTTGGTAGTAATGACAATRTCCTTTGAAATCCTGTTATGCTTGAGAGCTTGAAGGATTCAGCACTTAGTAGGAGGAAGCAGTGCAAATTTGTGGGCTCATTTTCCATATATTTGAGATACCTCAGATGAGAGTGTGATATGCAGTACCCAAATTTCCTGGCCAAGGAACTCCATMTTAGATCTGTAAAGGACATCCTAGAGGCAAAATTCAATTGACTTGAGCAAATGGTGATCATATTCCAACATAGCAGCAATATTACAAATTTCTTCCCAAAACATACACCTTCTGAGAAGTATATACACCCTCCTTGTCAGCAAAGGCAGTCTGGTTTCAAAGATTAGACTGTATCTTGCTCTTCTGCCTCCTACTCTGTATGTCTCTTTTTTTGTACATCTCAGTGAATTCCTGATATTTTAATTGAAGCTTTATCATCTCAAGATGCTTGGAAATGAGTGCAGTGCACTGATTGTTCTTCAGCTGTTAGTTCTCTGTCATTATTTTATTATGATTTGTATTTTTTCCCTGCCTGACAACCGTGATGCAGATCAGAACCCTATTTGGAACCCTGTATATGCATGGGCTAGAAACATAGCCCCAAAACAGAGTAAAARACAATAGAACCAATGAACAGACCAGATACATGACCTAGTACTTTTCTTCCTTTGCCATTTCAAATCCTTTCATTCTGTGTTTTGCTATAATTTTAAGTTCAGGATTTGTTTTTTTCCTTCCCACTCCCCTTTTGTTTTTTCTTTAGGAAGATAAAAGATCCCTAAAGAAAGTGGCTTCCTGCACATTCAATAATTCATAAGAATTTGGTCCCTAATTTGACAACTTGGCATGAGGGGGTCTACAGTTCAAAGAAAGACACTGGTTAACCATAATTAATAGGGAAAAATGGTGAAAGTTGTTCGTGCCAAGGGTGTTTCCTAAATAGCAGCTTTGTGTATGTRTTAAGTGCATTAAGATATAGGAAAMTAATTCTCAGGATTCATAATCTTGACCCTTCTCTAACCCCTTTGCTTTATACAGTGAATATATACCAGTTCTTTCTATCAAAGCCTGTAGTGCAAGTCTTGGAATTGTCCTGCCTGTCCAGATACAGGCCAGTTTGCAGTAAGGAAATCTGATTTCCTGTTGAAAATGTCCTTTCTTGTGAAAGAGATTTACAGATATGGAGGCCYAGAGGGACAAAGTCACCTATGTATGAACAGAAGTGGGAGTTCTTCAGCTCTGCTTTTCTGAGATACTATTACTGTATTTAATCTTGGGGATGTTTGAGGTAAAACATTAGCAAGAATGCCTTCAGGAAGAAGATAAATTAAGGATGCCAAGCTGTGGATAATGCTTGGAGTCAAAGCTATTTTGGATTCCTGGGTTCTTTATACTGTAAAATTGAAGTGTTTCTATCTATGTCTGGAAGGAGAATCACTGAGATGACTAGGGAAGCCTAAGTCTTAACACTTGAAGAACTTCAGATGGTGCAAAGGCTAAGCCATAGATGAGYGAAAATTTAGAATATTGACTTAAATATTATCTGAAGCATCTGAAGTTTGGGGTGAGTCTAGAACTCAGCTGATGTGTGCTTAAATTTCCTTGCTGYAGGATGAATTTGTTGCTATTTATCTCAGGGCAATGTTGGGCAGTGAAATGTGTCAAGTGCTCTCTTATTACAGTAATAACTGTACCATATATGGACTTAGAGAGATAGAAAAGAATTTTTAATGGCTTGTAAAATTTGACAGAGAACAAATCCCATGAATGTTTCTAGGTGATTACCAAGTTTTCCTCAGCCAGTGGTGGTTATCTCTRTATTTTCTGGTCAAAATGCCTGTATCTCCCTGTGATATGTGATTCCAGTTTTACAAGAGATAATTCAACATGAGAGAACTAAACATCCTAGTTTTTTTCCCCCTAATGTTGTATGTCAGCATTATCTCCTTCAGTAGCCTTGTCCACAGGAAGTGTAAAGTTTCCTGCTATGATTGTTTGACTGCTGCCAATTATCAGATCTGCTTTTGGCAGCTTTCCCCACCAAACCTGCTGATTAGCTAATGTGTGGTTACTAATACAATATGGGAAACTGGTATAAATGAAGAAGCAAAAGATTTATTAATTTCATGTGCTAATTACTGTTTGTAATATAATTATCAATACTGTGAAAAGCAATCCTGGCTTAAGAAAATGCCAGGTTTCTATGTCTTGTGAAATGAGGCACAAGAATTTAGTGCAGTAAACAGGTATATTTTCCCCTTGATACCTGCACATAATTTTCATTAGATTCACAGGTTTCAAAGGCAGAAGAGAGATCATTAGAGCTTGGAATCCAACTACCTGCAAAACACAGACCAGAGAATTTCATCCAGGTACCCTCTATCTGAGCTAATAGAAAACAGGAGCCAGATCCTGCACTGGATGTACAGCAGTTTTACTCCACTAAGCTGGAATAATGGTGATTTATACCAGCTGAGAAATTGGCAGTAGACTTAAATGACAATGGATTCTTTTTGCATAAACCTAAATGAAAATGGTCACTTATATTTTAATAGCCATGTTGAAAGAACCTTGCTGGGAGCGAGTTTTTGAAAAGTATTTTAAGCTTTAGAAGAAAATGAGGGTTTTTCCAAACCTTTATGGGATGATTGTGTTCGCTGTTGTAATTTAAATGTGTCCCTTCACTGAAGAAAAGACATAAATTCAGCAGAAAAAAAAATCTCTTCAAATTCAGACCTGTGCCAAGATTCTTATTTGTAATTAAATCATGCCCTGGGATTTTAGTGGGGGAAGGAAGAACAAAATAATGTAATAAAACCTGAACATTCTCAGAGCCAAGAGGAGCTTGAACTTAAAGGTTCAAAGATTAAAAGTCTCAAGAGCTAAAAAGTAGAGTCTATGATTTCTTTCATTAGGTTCTATATTTGGCAAAACAAGATGTCTCATTACTCTTTTGTAGCCATCTGCATGTGTGTGGGGATGATGTTATTATATTTATAGCAGATACAGTCTCATCATTTAGTTACAGACAGAATTCTACCTGCTCAGTGCTACAGGGTTTAAGAATGCACTCAGACAATATTGACACTCAGACAATGCCATAACATCCTGCAATCTGCACAGAAACTGAGGCTTTGTTCACACCAAAGCTGAATATAAAAACTTCCTTCCTGCTACCCTAAAATGAGAGAGTGTTTAAATGAAAATACCAGTGTGGGGAGAGTATCCTTCATATTCCGTATAAATTTTTGTTAGTTCTGCCTCAGGAGAAGGCGGTGAAGGCTTTTTTGTTTGTGATACAGAAATCTGTGACTATCACATCAGCATGTAGAATATGTAGAAAGACAACTTCTTATTAGAGTAACAGCTTATATAGACAGTAAGCAGAGAGAATTATCTCATAATATTCCCATTCTCAGTGATCATAAATCAGCTGTTGTTTTGGCTAATGAGCAGTTTAAAGTGCTTTATATTTGCTGAAGAAAACCTAAGTAGAAGACACATTTTAATACATTTCCCGTACATTTTTTCTCTTAGTGTTTTTCTCCTTCAGAGATGGAAGTCTGTTTCAACATGACACAACACATTTGATGGCACTGTCAYATGAAGAAAAGCCTGATACTTTACTGCACAGGTAAATATCAGAAGACATGGTCTGAAGCTTCCAAATCAAYCCTGATTTTCTCTTTCTTTCTTTGCTTTAAGCAGGGCTAGAAGAGCCAATCCCTCCTTGAAAAACAGAGTTTCTTTTTTCCCTTATCCAGAAGGATTTAAGTGTTCCCCATCCTTTAGGTTCCTCAGGTAACTCCATTGTAGATAGGTAACACTAGGTACTTGGTAACATCACACTTGCCTACGAAGTTTATATCAACATCACATCCTCCAGCATGTTGCACACATCTGTCTCACAAGGAACACGCAGCTGCAGAACTGACCTTSCCACAATGGTCTAAACCCAAAGTTCATTCAGAACTCCATTAGAAAACTGAGAAAAAAACCTGATTATCTGTTTTATGCAGCCAGGCAAGACCAACACTGTGTTAAATACACTCGGTTGCTGAAACTCAGACTGTTAGATACTACTGTAAAATGGATCCTCTGGGGTGAAACACTGGGAACAGCAGCTTATGAAGGAGGGCAGCCCTTAGCAGCACCGTACCAAGTTTGGTGATGCACTACAGCATGTAGAAGCCACTGCTGCTTCTCACCCTGCCTCCTTATTGCATCTTCTGCCCAAGGATGTGTGTGGAGTGTGCCAGCATATTTGCACTGTGATACAAGGAAAGAAAAGGCAAAATATGAGTACCTTGCAGGAGCCAGGCAAGAGAGGCTCTGACTGCATATTGTGTACTTGCCTATTACTCGTTTTGATCCTGTGTTTATTCTTGGTTCAGTGCTACAGTCCTCAGACCACTACACTGACTTCCAGGAAACTTTAAAAATATTGTTTTCCGAAAGCTGAAGTTAGGCTATTGTTATAGAAAAAAATAGCTGTGGTTTATGGTCTTGTCAAATTAAGTCCAGCTTCAGTAAACATGAAATCTRTATAGTACAACCTCAGCAGTGAATAAAAAAGGATTATTCAGCCAATCATATATAAATATCAGTAATATAAAATTCTGACAATTGTAAGAGAATTGCATTCACAGAATGCACTTTCAGCCTGATGATAAAACATCAGTCTCTATGTAGTTCAATTTTTGTCATTTGCTTGTGGACTACTTCCTTCCCATACTAAAATTAAAATTTAAAAGACTTTCACTTTTGAGGAAAAGAGCATCATTGAAGAGAAATTCTCCCTGGCAAATTAATAGATAAGGTCTGCCATGCTAACTCAAAAGCAAGCAAAAGGTAAAAATTGAATCTCTTTATCACAGTTGAGTCATTTTTCTAAACTGGGGAAGTAATATAGGATGGAATATATAGGACAGATTCTCTAACAGAAAGTGCTTTTAAACTTTAAAAGATCCATAACTAATATTGGGAATGGTTATAAATGACAGTCTTCTCTTTTAGATTATGTTGCATTTATTACATTCTACCAGGACTTTATGGAGACTCTCAAGGAATTAAAGTTATATTTATGATAAAAATACGGAGCTGCTTCTAAATAGCATTTTCATCATATTAACTGTTGCCTAGATAACAGGCATATCTCCTTGAAAACCTCTATTCTGGTTTAACACTACAGCTTGCAAATTAATACGGTCATTATAAGACAGCAAAGCTATATCACTTACCATTTCATTATTGTTCAAGTCAAAATCCATATTTTTTCAGTTTTCCCTAGGGTTACAAACTGGATAGGGAAAYGTTATCATCTTGCAGAATAATCTCTCAAGGCTCACTCTCTTTGGTGTTAAGAGGAGCTGTTAATCATATTACAATAATTTTCATATTAATAGGTCCTGTGTAAAGAGAGAGTTAATGCTCTCCTTCTACATTCAATCCTCCAACAGAGTTTTTTTTATATATGTTTATAAATATATATATATAAAAATATATATGTTTAAATCTGCTTGGAACTAGATTAGCACAAAAGATATCACGTCCTACTCAGTATATGAATCAGGGTCAAATCAACAGCAAACCCTTAAATTTTTAATCAAAATGGCAATCTGTCATCCCTAAGAGAGTTAAGAAATGTGTAAGTGAATAACATGAATATGTTTTAATGGAAAATACATGGGATAACTTACTGCAGCAAACTGAAAATGATCCATGCAGTATCTAGAAGATACTTTAGTCCTTGCATGAGAAGCTGTGATCCTAGCATGCATATCCACCCTAAATCAAAATTCATCTTTAGACCTGAATTTTGAGGTTTTTTTAGGAATCAACACRCCCTTAATTTTTATGATCTTTTTATGATCTTCTCAGATAGTGAAATTTTCTGAAAGCTTCTCATATAAAGTTGTACATTTAATAATGTAATGTTACTTAAACTCAGAGCATTTTTCTGATATTTTTCCTTTTTTCCAGTCTGCTGACCTGAGTAACGCGATCTGCTCAGAAGAAGTTGAGTGTGAATTTAAGAAGCCGTTCAAGGGGTCAGGTGTTTGCCTAATTTTCAGCAGCCTGAACGTGAAACAAAGGTGGGCCAGGTCTGCAGAGATGTGGGGGTGACCTGGCTCTGCTCCTGCTCTGCCCCTGCTGTGCTCTGGCTCATGGGAAGCTGTTCCATGCAGGAGCCCGAGCGCTGCGCTGGTGTCACGGATAATGAGCCCCATGGAGAGCAGAATTGCACTGCGCTGCCTTAATGTGGCATTCTGGCTCCTGGAGCCGGCCAGCTTAGCCCAGGGAGGAGCTGCTGCCTCTTCTTGGGCAGTGTGGGAAGATGCTCCCTTGGTAAAGCTTCCCCTGCTGTCAGCACCCGCTCTCCTTTTGCTAAGCCATTTTACTGTAATGATGCCACCTCTCTCAATGTCCTTCGTTGTTCTCCTGTCTGTCATTCCCTGGGGGTCTGATTAAAATCGGTGGAAAGCTCTCTTGGATTTTACTGGCTTTGGTACTTTGGCTCTGCTCCTTAATGTGCCTTTCTCATCTGTTTTTAACTGCTTTCTGTTAGGCTCACTTCTGCTGTGTTCTAAACATTCCTCATCTTTCCCCACTTTTGTATTTTTGTACTTTTTTTCCTATTCTTGACCTGCTCGACAACTGTTAAATTACTTAGGCAGTGAGTAAAATGAAGATTAAAGAAATGCTTTCAGCTTTGAGCTAAAATGTGTTGACAGGACTCACAAGAGGCCTAGAGGACACATGGGAGAGTAGCATCATTTTGGGGGAAGAAAAGCTAGAAAAATGACTCTCATCAGATCTGAGGTTTCACCATGATTCTGTGGCAGCACTCCTGGCTGTCTTAATGAGGTCATGAATCTGCTAGCAGTGTGTAGAAACAGTTTTAATTGGTGATAATGTTAACACTTGTTTAACAAAATTTAAGGTAGCTGGAATATGGTTTTATCCGCACTATACTGGTGTAAATCAAAAGTAATGTTATTCAAACTTATGTTCTTCTAGAATAGCAGCACTTTAGCAGAAATCAGATTCTAAAGCACTCCTGAATTTCAGATATTATACTGTATTTCCATTTATAACCTGACATAATTCCCACACAGCATATGGTATTAATCTGGTGTAAACACCATGTTATGATGATACTCAAACACATACAGCTGACATGAAAATGTCTTCAAGTACAATATTTCCAAAAGTAATTATGTCTATATAGTTGGTAGTTAGCTCGTGTGAGATTTTATTTCTTATTCATACATACATGAAGGTTCGCAGAATAAAACTTTATATATAAAAAAGGAGATATTCTCACTCTTTGMAAAAAAGTAAGGAAAAATCAATATAGTCTACTTATTTTGGCCTGTCAGGCTTTCATAAGGGAATCTTACCTTTATGTGAACACAGGATTTTTGCASTTTTGGAATTTTCTTTTGTTTGATTTAGAGTATAGACATATAGATGAATGCAAAGAATACAGTGACACAAAGTGAAACTGATGATATTTTGATTAGAGAAAATGAACTCCAAAATAAATATTTAGGGAAATTTTGCAATTCTCAGCAAAGGTAATACTCTTGATGTGTGAATGCCCCAGAAATAAATCTCTTCTGGTAATCAAACATTTTTCAATGTTCTCTGAKGAAAGGGGTGGGACACCAGCATCCCTTGTCCAGGTAGATGCATGTATGAAACCCTTAAAAAAATTGTCTGAGACTGGAGTTGAGCCAATCATTTTGTCCAAAGGAGATCAATAAAAACATGTCTTTTGGAAAGTCAATGCTTATGGATGGTAATATTTTTGCTTGAACACTTGCCAGCAGGGCCTGATTCATGGGTAGTGTAAATGTTCTAGGGCCCTCTCACCTGTTTGAGATGAATTTATTTATTAGGATGAAGTGTACCTTTTTCACAGATTGCTTCTAACTCTACCTGCTACCTAGAGTTTCAAAAATTTTAGCCTTTCATAGCCCCTTTTATTTCTACCTGACGATCCTTTCTTAAATACATTCCTAAGACAAAGAAAATAAGGCAACCTCAGTATCACATTTTCAAAACAAAAAGGAACTGCAAGAAACTGCTTAACAACCAGCTCTGCACTCGTTAGCTTCAGTATAAATCTGCAATGACTTTATTTTTATTACTTCATACTTGCACTACAGTGAATAACAGTAGGTTAGGCTGTTGATGGCATTATAAAATGAGCATTTCCAGCTCATCYCTATTATCCACCACAATATCTTGGTTTTAAAAAAGAGACGGCTAAAAAAAATTGCAACGGGACAAGAATAAATCTGGAATAACTCCACTGAAAATTTACACCAAGAATTGAATTTAGCCCACTTTGTTGAATTCCTTTTAATGGTTTCTGCAYGTTCAAGCATCCACCAGATATTAGATGGGAAGCAGCAGCCTCTCTGTTATCTGCGATCCAAGCAGGACACGCGGGGTGAAAGGGTAACGCATTATCGCTCTGCGCCACCTGGCCCATCCAACACAATTTGAACAACCATAATTGTATTGATTACTTCTTGTGCTCATGACTAATGACCTCTAGCTGCAACCTTGCATTTTCTAAATCTTTTATATTCTGATTTAATAATAAGATTTGATTAGAAATTGCCATTAGCCAATGCCAATGATTAGTCAGCAAGACTCAATGCCGCCAAGTTCCAATGAGTTTCATTATTCTGGAATTAAAAAGCACAGAGAACTTCTCTGGGTTAATAATACAATGATTCTGTCTCAATCAGGAATGAAAGAAAACAGCTCTAATATACAAATGCAGCAAAATGTGTGGCTATTACTAACAGCCACATTTTACAGAGAAGTGTTTGAAGAATTAAAGGGGCTTTGTCACAGATGGTTGGGACAGTTTGCTTTTACTTTTTATATTTGATTGGAAAGCCAGTGTCAGATGGTGTGTGAGGGGACATTTTCCTAAGGAAAGACATTTCCTTTGGTGTAAAAAGAATATGGACTTTATTCAATTTCTCCATGAGCATCCCTACCACAAGAAAAAAAATGCAAAATGTGTGTCAGCAAAATGAATTGTGATGGCTTTAGAAAATGACTAGAGGTTTGTCCAGGTTATTTACCTGCTGAGAATATATTTAACGATGTGGCATTTTGCATTTTTTTATTATATGACTTATTTTTTAAACAAAAGGTCATACTGTCACATCCCTCGCAGAAAATAAAGAACTATGCTGTCTTCTTTCAAGAGGGTAAGATATTTAAACATATACTAATTTTTAGACATTTAGCTAAATCCTGCTGAAGAGTGTTAGGCTTAGAAAAGACTTAAGCATAAATCTACGAKCTCTGCTGGATCCAAATTGAGACCAAATTGGTGTTTCTGTATTTGGGGTGCACTAGAGGAGATGCTCTGTGGGGTAAACATCTGCTATGGGATGTGATGTTCCCTCAGATCCCATTGAAGCTAATTGAGGACTGGGTGACATTGAAGTCAATGAGAGCGGAGAGCACTCAGCACCTTTCAGGTTCAGGTCTCTAAATAATAAAAGACTCTTGAGACACAGTAAAAGCATTTCCTGCTTGTCACACAGGASCTGGAAAGCTGTCCTGTCTCACTTTCATCCTCCAGAAAACATGCCATGTCCCAAATGTGAGTCCCATAAGATTTTAAAGGTATTTGAATAAAGAAATACCTTTTTAAAATACTGCAAACACAAAATCTTGTCCCGGGTTTGCATGGCAAGGTTTTGGTAGAGGGGAAGGCTACAGGGATGGTCTCTGTGAGAAGCTGCCTGAAGCTTCCCCATGCCTGGCAGAGCCAATGACAGCTGTCTCCAAGACAAACTCACTGCTGGCCAAGGTTGAGCCCATCAGTGATTGTGGTGGAGCCTCAGGGATGACATAGTCAAGAAGTGGAAGAAAAACCCACCAAACTGGGGTACAACAGCTGCTGGAGAAAGGAGTGAGAATATGTGAGAGGAACAACCCAACATAYCCCGAGGTCAGTGCAGAAGGAGGGGGAGGAGGTGCTCGGGGGTGCCAGAGCTGAGTGAGACAGGCTGTGCCCCTGCAGCCCATGGAGGTTCATGATGGAGCAGAGATCCACCTGGATCAAGGGGATGCCTGAAGGAGAGTGTGATCCCATGGGAAGGCTGTGCTGGAGTCTCCTGCCAGGACCTGTGTCCCTGTGGAGAGAGGAGCCCATGTTGGAGCAGGTTTGCTGGCAGGACTTGGGACCCTGTGGGGTACAGTCTAGAGCAGGACCGTTCCTGCTGGACTGCACCCCATGAAAGGGAGCCATGCTGGAGCAGCTCATGAAGAACTGAAGCCCATGGGAAAGACTCTTGGAGAAGTTTGTGAGAACTGTCTCCTGTGGGGTAAACCTCACGTTGGAGCAGCAGCAGAGCATGAGGAGATCTCCTGCAGAAGAGGAAGGAGCAGAAGGGAGACCATGGGATGAACTGACCACAGCCCCATTCTCCATCTCTCTATGTTGTCAGGATGAAGGAGGGAGAGAAATCAGGAGAGAAGCTGATCCTGGGAAAAAGGGAGGGTTGGGGGGAAGGTATTTTAAGATACAGGTTTATTTCTCTGTAGTTTGTTTTGTAATAAAATAAACTAATTTCCCTAAGAGGGGTCTGTTTTGCCAATGAGAGTCACCGGTGAGTGATCTCTTCCTGCCCTGATCCTKACCCACGATCCTTTCATTACACTTTCTGTCCCCTGCYCAGCTGAGGAGGGCAGTGATRAAGCATCTTTGGTGGGCACCTGGCACCCAGTGAGGATCAACCCACCACAAATCTTTTGTCACCTTCAGGAATATAATTTTTAAACATTCTTTGTTAATAAAGTTTGCTTTTGGCAACTGTTGTTTTCCCGGCTTATTATAAGTGCCTTTAAAATGTTTCCATTAATTAAGGCTGCTTTTATGGGCTACATCCATTTAGTAAAATTGCAGAAAGAAGTGCTGCCGACACATCTGCCATTGACTTCTGTTTGCCTGAGCATTTTATACCCCCGTGAATAGCTCAGTGGGGAGAGAAAGCCTGCGAAAGAGAATGATAGAAAGTGGTGAATTCTGTCCAGCAAAACATGGAGGTCAGGAGAGACTCAGCTGATTACATACTCATGTTTTCCAGGATTTCAYGAGGGGAGTGGAAAGTTGGTTAAACTCTGGTTACAACAGAATAGCTCTCTTAAAACATACTAACTGAAAYAGTCAGAAAATAAAAATGTATAAAATGTGAGTTTGAATATATGWGATTGTGTTTTGTGGGATCAGGCAGGAAGGAGGTTGATCTGATCATCTCTGTATTAACTTACGGAGGTTTTTATACACCCTCAGCTGACAGCATTACTAGCCAGATTATAATTATAATTACCTTGGCTTCATCTCAGTGTTTATCTGCCATGACACCCACCCAGCCACCTGCCTGCTATTAATTCATTCAACACTAACTTCATCTTTTTTCTTTTTATCTTGTTTTTTTCCTGTTATCCTTACTTTAAAAAATGTGCCCGTTATTAGAAACGAAATAACACAATATTTGTTTGTCCATGACATCATGTATTCCTTTGTTAAAAAAAAAGAGAAAAAACCAACCCAGAATTCTTCAGATTATAAAAATAACCTGTTTGTATTTTATAGTGAAAACTGGAAAGATCTGGCATTTGACTAAAAAACTCGGAACAGCTGATAATCTTCTTTAAATTGAATCTTTTTTTTTTTTTTTTTTGTCATCCATAATACTGCCAGATATTCAAATAAGAGGAAATTCATGACAAAGGGCAATAAGCACGATACACAGTTGGCTTGCAGGATTCCACTGTGGGTGCAATTCTGTATCAGTGCTGGATATTTGTTGCTGTTGCTGCTCCTGAGGTGCTGAATTTTTTAATTGTTCTGACWGAACACTGAATGTCCAATTCCCCTGCAAAATGATGATTTAAAAAAAGAAGGAAAACCATGAAAAACTTGAAAGAACAGTCATGCCCACAGTGCTTAAAGCCTTGGAAAGACTTAACGCTGCATTCTGCTATGCTGTTTATGGGACAGAAACACTTCTCCCCAGTATGCCAGGAACTGAGAACTGGTGCTGCAGTGTGGATGTTCTTTTGGGTGTTTGGTAGATTGAAGAACATACTGTAATGTGTTGGAGGAAGCTAATTATAATAATGGCTTGGGGTCAGGTAAATGCTTCACTATTTATCTGACCCATCCACTGTTTATTATACTCCTTGTGTCAACACATTTTTACAGAGTGAAAATTAGCAACTAATTAATTTAATTTCAGGAGTTAATGCCACTGTAAAAAAAAAAAAAAAAAAAAGGGAAAGCAAGGTTTGTATTGAATAGTGATGTTTCTAGAAGTGAGCATTATAAACGTGGAAGTGAAGGGTCTTTAAAAGCAGCTTTGAACTGAATGATCCAAAGGTCTGATTCTGCAATCATTCATCAAGCATCAGTTCATCAAACTGTGCTTAAGTATCTGGTCAAGTCTTGTTCAAATCAAAAGCACCTGTTTAAATGCTTTCTGCACTGGGGTCTTAGACCCTGCTCAAGCAACATTTCTGACTTAGCTGATCCTGCCTCTCTGAGAAAATGTGTCAGGGGGAAGTCCTAATTGCCTGTATTCCTCTCTCATCTGGTGATGCTCCTTTTTCCAGTGGCATTTCTGCTSTCTGTCAGTTAAAAGTTTAGAAATGTCAGAATCTAAGACACTACTCAAACCTCTGCAGAGGTTTTGGGGACACTGTTCAAGCAAGCAAATGAATGGAAGGAATTTTTTGAGGATGCATTATTGCTTATTATATTTTTAAGCTCCCCCAATTATGCAAGCCACTGTTTTGTTTTAGTTTCAGCCAACACCTTCTTCCTTTACCATAACCCACAGAGACACAGTAACACATTGTGTATATGGAGACAATAATTGTTTGCATTTTTATAGTCATTTTAATGTGAAGACTTTAAGTACTTTAGGGCCTTCTGGGCCTGGARATTTTCCCATCTTTCCTACTTTCTTTTTCTTTTCATATTGCCTTTCCCATCTTTCCTCTCCTCTATCCTTTTATTTTGAGATGAAGTCAGGACTGGAGGAGCTAAGGCACACTTTGCCCAGGTTCTGGATGATTTCTTTGTTTTCACTCCAAGCTCTGTGGGAGGATGAAATCTCTTCTTCCCCTGAAGGCTGTAAGAAAGCCCCAGTGTGTCCCATCCTGAGTGACTGAAGGTCCAAGGGCTCCAAAGCATGCTGCACACTGCAGCTGCTGAGCAGTTTTCTGTAATTTAAGTAGCCAGCCCCAGAGGTGCAAAAAAATCTGTGCCAGAGCTTAGAAAACAACCCAGATATCTTAGTTGTTCTTCTTAGACATTAAACAGCTTCCACTTTCAATGTGCAATCAATGATTGCTGGGATTTTGGTCACCTTTTAAAATAATGGACCACTGCATGCAGGAATCTTTATTTTTAGACTTAGTTTCTCTAATGATAAATTCAGGAAATATTTTAATMGTGTGTAATTATCAGAACTCAGCTATCAGTCTACAACTTTTATTCAGCCCTGTGCTGATTTGGCACTGTTGGCTGGCCTGGCTCTGTCTTCAAAGTCATCTTTTGTGTGAGACAGCAGCTGCTGCAAGGGAAGTATGTGCAGCTACAGCTTTCACCAAGACATCCACAGCTCTGAGGCTGGGGACAGACAGGGCAATGCAAGGCCTTATGATCTACCCCATCTCATTGAAAAGGTCACAGAAGTCACCAGATTGACTGCAGAACATTCCCCCTGAGCAATGCACCTTTGGTGCTGCAGAGATGCTGCTATTTTTGAAGCTGTGGTCCACACAGAACACGGATCTTTCTTTAGCATGAATATCAATGCATGGCAAATGCCCTCAGGGGACAGGGGGAGGCTTCCTCTTCAGTGCAGCATTTCAACAAAATATTCTAA